CTATGATAATCTTATCCGAAGTGGTTAATAGCTCATTTACTAACTTTTCATCTTTAAGTTCCTTAATAAGGTACTGTCTGGCTTTCTCCGAATTTTCCTTGATTTTCTCGACTTGATCTGTTGTTGACGAAATAGTTAGGTAGCGGATTGACAAGGCCGTTTCCCATGCACTTTGTGAGATATTCTTTAATTTGTCACTAATGTCGTGAGATTGAACCGTCTTTTGAATGGTATCAGATGAGATATCAATGTGCTCAGATACATGTTTGTCCAATTTAATAGAGCCATCGGGTTTTTGAGTTGAAACGATCTTTTTGGTGGTTTCGGGAGTGGTCTTGGATTTAAGGGTTAGGAGTGCTGCAGTGTTTTCAACAGATCTCACCGCATGAGTCGCACCCTCTGTGATGGTCTTGGTAGTGCTGTCTACGGCATCATCAACAGCTGTGGCGATAGATTTAGTGGTGCTACCAAGATAATCGCCAACCGAAGAAGCAATAGGCGCAGTCCATCCGAACCAAGATGATGATTGTTTTTTCTCATGGGAAACCTTTTCGACCACAACCTTTTCGCATGATTCCAAGATTACTTTTTCTAATTTTTCGTCCTTTATTTGTTTGTGTAACCACTCACGAGCCTTTTCGTTTTGAACTTTCCATTTCGATTCGTGTCCACTTAGTACCTTATTGCAGTATGCCAATGTTATGAACGTGTTCCAAGTTTTAATGTCCAATTTCTTGACGCGTTCATCAGTGACACGAATTGAAGATATAATGTCTTTAGTTGTGGTTATACCAAGGTTTTTGGTAATTTTTTCGGAAATTTCAAACGAACCATCATTATTTTGAGTTTTGGTAACTTCATCGACCTAAAATTTATAAATTAGATTGTAAGTATGCAAAATTAAAGGTATCACGTTAATTTATTCCTAATTAAATAATAATCACGAACCTCTTCTACGGTTACGGTTTCTTGAACCTTTTCGAAGATTACTTTGTTGGCTTTTTCTTTAACTACTTTCTTTGTTGCATGATCAACAACAACTTGATCGGTCTTTACTAATAATTCTTTCACCTTCTCGTCACCTCCTAATTGGGATTTCAAATATTTCTCCGCCTTTTCGTATTTCTGTTTTACTTCTGGTGATGAATCCGCGGATGATGTTTTTCGGAGGAAAGATAAGGTCATGGCAGTTTCAATGATTGACTTGTTTTCCGGTAATTTGATACCTTTAGTGGTGAAGTAAGATTTGACGGAGGATACCAATGATTCATTAGATTCAGTTTCGAGCTCCTTAGAAACCTCCTCGGTTAATTGTAGAGATCCATCATCTTTTTGTTTCGATACAATTTCGTGGACCTTCTCAGTTGAAGTAGATTGTTGAACGGTTGCAACGGCATCTTTCTTCTCTTTCTGAACGCTTTGATCTATGATAATCTTATCCGAAGTGGTTAATAGCTCATTTACTAACTTTTCATCTTTAAGTTCCTTAATAAGGTACTGTTTGGCTTTCTCAGATTGTAATTTGTATTTTTCGGGTTGAAGTTTTGAAGCAATAGTCAAATATCTGAGATTTAAAGCTGTTTCCCATGCGTTATGAGAGACATTTTTTAATTGTTCGCTGATGCCATAATTCTGGACTGTCGTTTTTAAGTTGTCAGAAGATATATCAAGTTGTTTGGTTACATGTTCGTTCAATTTAATCGAACCATCGGTTTGTTGAGTTGAAACGATCTTTTGGGTGGTTTCGGGAGTGATCTTAGACTGAAGGGTGATAATTTCATAACCGTGATAGACAGAATCGGGACCAGAAGAGAATGCTACGCTCCCGATTTTATCGTAACCGCTTTGGATTACATTAGTGGCTGTGGATCCAACACTTGAAACGCCTTCCCAAATCGAACTCCAGCTTGACTTCTCCTTTTCTTTTTGTTGCTTTTTCTCGTCAGACTTTTGTTTAATTGTTTTTTTAGAAATCTTTTCTACCACGACCTTTTCGCATGATTCCAAGATTTCTTTTTCTAATTTTTCGTCCTTGATTTTGTCGTGTAACCACTCACGAGCCTTTTCGTTTTGAACCTTCCATCTCGAATCGTGTTTAACTAATACCTTATTGCAGTAAGCCAATGTTATGAACGTGTTCCAAGTTTTAATGTTCAATTTATTGACTCGCTCATCAGTGACACGAATTGAGGAAACAATGTCTTTTGTTGTGGTTATCTCAAGGTCTTCGATAATTTTTTCGGAAATTTCAAACGAACCATCATTATTTTGAGTTTTGGTAACCTTATCGACCTAAAATATATAAATTAGATTGTAAGTATGAATGTAATACAAGGTATCATATGTTAGTTGATTATTCAGTTAGATAGTAACAAACCTCTTCTACGGTAACGGATTCTTGCACTTTGTTTACGACCGCTTGATTGGCTTTTTCTTTGACAACTTTTTTAGTTGCCTGTTCAACAACAAATTTATCAGTTGTTTCCAATAATTGCTTTTCTAATTTTTCATCACCTAACTGGGTGCTTAAATATTTTCTTGCTTTTTCGTAACTTTCTTTATGATCAGCTTCTGAAGATGGGGCGGTCTTTTTGAGGAATGATAATGTTAATGCAGTATTAATCAATGATTGGCTCTCTGGTGATTTTAATTTTTTGTCACTGAAATAAGTTTGAACTGAAGAAGCTAGAGATTTTGAAGAAGTAGCTTCAAGGTCTTTAACAACTTTATCATCAAGAGTAAATGATCCATCCTCTTTTTGATTAGATACAACTACTTTAACAGTTTCCGGCGAAGTGCAACTTTTAATAGCGGTGACGGCTGCTTTCTTTTCTTCGTTAACTACTTTTTTGGTACTCTTCTCCACGACAAATTTCGTTGATGCGTCTAATAATTCTCTCTCTAATTTTTCATTTTTAAGTTGTTGACTTATATACTTTCTTGCTTTGTCTTGCTGTTCTTTGACTTGATCTTGATGTTGAGATCCAGAAGTTCCTAAAAAGCTTAAGCTAATCGCCGTTTCCCATATATCCTGAGGAAGTTTCTTTAGTTTATCACTTACTGCATAAGTTTGAACTGATGATGTAATATTATCGGATGAAACGTCAATTTGTTCGGACACGACCTTGTTTAATTTGATAGATCCGTCGCTTTTTTGAGCTGAAACAACATCTTTGACGGTATCAACGGTGGTCTTTGATTGGAGGACCACAAGCGCTGCAGCCTTCTCATTCTTCTTTTCTTCCCGAATTACTTTACTAGTTGTTTTTGCGACGACTAATTTTTGAGATGCTTTCAATAATTCTTCTTCCAAAGTCTCGTCATTAATTTGTTCCTTGATATATTTTCTAGCTTTTTCGTATTTCTCCTTCCACTGGCTTTCATGAGCAGGTGATGTAGTTTGAAGATAGGCAATAGTAAAGGCGGTATTAAAAACTTTAGGATTTTCAATCTTTTTCAATTTTTCACTCGTTACATATTTCTTTGCTGTTGTTATAAGGGTTCCTGAAGAGACGTCAAGATCTTTGCAAACTACTTCACTTAACCCAAATGATCCATCTTTTTCGTCGTGAGTTGAAATGACGGTTTTGGTCGTTTCTTCATTGATCTTTGATTGAATTGTCACTAAGGCTGCCTTCTTTTCTGTATTCTTCTTTTCTTTTGTTTGTTTGAGGGCCGTCTTTTCTATCACGAATTTATCCGACGTTCTAATGATTTCTTCTTCTAACTTTTCGTCACCTACTTTCTCACTAAGATACTTTCTAGCTTGATCGTACTTATCTTTCCATTGTCCTTGATAGGCGGTTGCGTTGTTTTTCAGGAAACTTTAGAATCAAAGGTAAGGGAAGTTGGAATGTTAGTAACAGAAATGTTTATTTAAAAGTCAAAATTTTTATTTTATTTACCTTAGTGTTGCGGCCGTAGACCAAATCGAAGAATCTGAATTCTTCTTTAATTTTTCATTGGTGGTATACTTTTGAATGTTGGATACCAAGGTGTTTTCAGAAGACACATCCAATTTATCTGAAACTTCTTTACTTAATTCGAATGAACCATCCGTTTTCTGTTTGGTGATAATGGCTTGTGTGGTCTCAGCTGTGGTGGATAATTGTGCTTCAGTAATCGCATCACGTTTCTCTTTTTGTTTTTGCTTAATAGCAACCTTTTCGGTGGTTTTTTGTACCACAATCTTTGAACAAGTTTTAAGAATCTCCTCTTCTAATTTGTCATCATTAATTTGTTCATGAAGGTATTTTCTCGCCTTCTCATATTCCACTCTCCAAGTTTCTTCATGTGCTGAGGCGGAGGTTTTTAGGTAACTTAATGTCAAGGCTGTTGACCACCAATGGTGGTTGGAGATGGTTTTTTGTAGAGATTCGCTGACGGCGTAGTTTTTGACGGTAGTAACTAAGGTTTCCTTTGTTACATCAACTTGTTTGCAGACGTCTTCGGACAAATCAAAAGACCCATCTTGTTTTTGGGTGCTGGTAACCTTCTTTATGGTCTTGACATCCGTCTTTGATTGTACGGCAAGTAAAGCAACACGTTTTTTCTTTTGTTTTTCCTTTAGAGAAACTTTGGCGGTGGTCTTCTCAACTAAAATCTTTTCACTCGTTTTCAAGATTTCTTCTACCACCTTTTCATCTTTGACTTGTTCAGAGAGATATTTCCTTGCCTTTTCGTATTGTGCCTTCCATGTGTCTTCGTGAGCCGAAGCCGAAGTTTTGAGGTAGTTAATCGTCAATGCAGTAGACCACAAATCTTTCTTGTCCACGTGTTTCTTTAATTCTTCACTTACAGCGTAAGTCTTGACGGTTGTAATTAAAGAATTTGATGAGTCGGTAATATCAAGTTGGTCGGAAACCGTCTTGTTGAGCTCGAATGATCCATCGGATTTTTGGGATGAAACAACAGCCTGTGTAGTTTCGACGGAAGTCTTTGATTGAATCTTGGCCAAAGCGACTCGTTTTACTTTTTGTTTTTCTTTGCGAGAAACCTTTTCCGTGGTCTTATCATAAACATATTTTTCGCAAGAACGAAGCAACTCGCTTTCCAATTCTTCGTTGTTGAGTTCTTTGTGAAGGTATTCTCTGGCCTTTTCATATCCGATTCTCCACGTTTTTTCATGAGCGGTGGCAGTTGTTTTGAGATAGCTGGTTTTTTTTTAAAAAAAAAAAATTGTCAACTTCTTTTCTCTTAGGTCTCAAAAGACAAATAGGAAATTCTAAAATACTCACCTTAAGGTTATTGCTGTAGAGATTAATTTGCTATCAACTTTTTTGAGTTTTTCGTTAACGATGTAAGGTTGAACGGAGGAAGTTACAGTTTCCGACGTAACATCAATACTCTTGGTAATGGTTTCGCTAATATCAAATGAACCGTCTTGTTTTTGTGTTTTACAAACAACTATGGCAGATTGAGGAGTCGTCTTCGTTTGTACATGAACAAGGGCGGTTTGTTTTTCTTTGCGAATCACTTTTTCTGATGCCTTCTTGATAACAAATTTGTTGGTCACATTTGAGAGTTCTTCCTCCAATTCGACGCTATTAAGTTTTTTGCTAAGGTATTTCTTCGATTCTTCATATTTTGTTCTCCATTCACCTTCGTATTTATTTGCCGCGATCTTAAGATAGTTTAGCGAAACAGCAGTGCTATATATGCTTTCATCAGCAACGTTCTTAAGTTTGTCACTAACGTCACAAGTTGAATTGATCGTAGAAACTAATTTGTCGGATTCAATGTCAAGCTTCTTGGTGATTACACTACTCAATGGGATTGATCCATCCTCTTTCTGAGAGGAGACGATAGTTTTGGTTTTTTCCAAAGTGGTTGAAGATTGTATAACAGTAATGGTCTTTCTTGTTTGCTTCTTTTCAACATTTTCTGTGGCTTTAGTGACGACATACTTGGAACAAACTGCTAAAAGCTCCTCTTCTAACTTTTCATCCTTGATTTGCTCCTTCAAATATTTTCTTGCACGTTCATATTGAATATTCCAATGTGGTTTATGTTGAGGTGCTGCTGTTTTTAGGTAACAAATTGTCAGGGCCGTTGAGAACCAAGCAGAATTCGAAATTTGTTTGATTGATTCGCTCTCTGTTTTTGATTGAATTGAAGTGATCAAAGTCTCTTTGGATGCTATATCAAGCTTCTTTCGGATAACATCGCTTAATTCAAAACGACCGTCTTCTTTTTGAGTAGATACAATGGTTGTAGTTTTCTCAAGGGTTGTGGACGTTTGAACTGCAACGATAGCGGCTTGTTGTTTTTCAACGACAATTCGTTTTACCTTTTCTTCTTCGGTTTCATCGCGAGTAGAATAATCAATGCTTTGATAGATGGAGTCGACACCAGTTGTGATTGATCGAGAAATGGTACCAAAGACGTCACCAAGACCCCAACCTCGTGATTGTACTTTCTGATCTCTTTTCTTATCAGACGTTTGTTTAATTGTTTTCTTAGAGACCTTTTCAACCACAACCTTTTCGCATGATTCCAAGATTTCTTTTTCTAATTTTTCGTCCTTGATTTGGTTGTGTAACCACTCACGAGCCTTTTCGTTTTGAACTTTCCATTTCGATTCGTGTCCACTTAATACCTTATTGCAGTAAGCCAATGTTATGAACGTGTTCCAAGTTTTAATGTCCAATTTCTTGACGCGTTCATCAGTGACACGAATTGAGGATACAATGTCTTTTGTTGTGGTTATCTCAAGGTCTTCGGTAATTTTTTCGGAAATTTCATACGAACCATCATTATTTTGAGTTTTGGTAACTTTATCGACCTAAAATATATAAATTAGATTGTAAGTATGTAAAATTAAAGGTGTCACGTTAATTTATTCCTCAATTAAATAATAATAATCACGAACCTCTTCTACGGTTACGGTTTCTTGCACCTTTTCGAAGACTACTTTGTGGGCCTTTTCTTTAACTACTTTCTTCGTTGCATGATCAACAACAATTTGATCGGTCTTTTCTAATAATTCTTTTTCCACTTTCTCGTCTTTTATTTGAGTGCTTAAATATTGCTTCGCCTTTTCGTATTTCTGTTTTACTTCTGGTGATGAATCCGCGGATGACGTTTTTCGGAGGAAAGATAAGGTCATGGCAGTTTTAATGATTGAATCGTTTTCGGGTAATTTGATATCTTTATTAGTGAAGTAAGATTTTACAGTGGAAGCAAGTGATTCGATAGATTCGGCATCAAGTTCTTTAGTGACAGTCTCGGTTAATTCTAAGGATCCATCGACTTTTTGATTTGATATAATTTCGTGGACCTTCTCAGTTGAAGTAGAGTTTTTAATAGCACCGGACACAGCCTTTTTCTCGTCAGTGATTACTTTCTCTGTGCCCTTTTCTACGATGATCTTTTCTGAGGCAGTTAATAATTCTTCCACTAATTTTTCGTCTTTAACTTCATTAATCAGATATTTTTTCGCCTTTTCATACTTATTAGCCCATTCAGTTTTATGTTGATCGCCTGTCTTTTTCAAATATTGAATCGAAAGAGCCGTATTCCACCATTTGTCACTCTCTTTTGATTTAAGTTTCTCACTTTTAACGTATGATTTAACGGTGTCATTAAGGTTTTCGTTAGAAACGCCAATCTTTTCCGTGATGACCTTACTCAATTGGAAGGAACCGTCTGATTTTTGATCGATTAAAACTTTCTTTGTATCTTCAACAGTGTTCTTTGATTGAAGAGAAATCAGCGCCGCTGCCTTTAAATCCTTCTTTTCCTGTCGTTCCTGTTTGCGGACAACATTTGTAGATGATTCAACGATCAATGTTTGGGATGCCCTAATCAATTCCTCTTCTAAATCCGCATCCTTGATTTGCTTTGAGAGATATTCTCGAGCCTGATTATACTTTTCCTTCCAATTACTATCGCGAGCAGATGATGTATTTTCTAAATAGGTGATAGTAATGGCCGTGCTGAATAGTTTGGGATTGTCAATCTTTTTTAATTTGTCGCTTGTCACGTATTTCTTTGCCGTTGTAACAAGAGCTCCTGAAGGAATGTCAAGATGCTTACAAACTACATCATTTAATCCAAAAGAACCATCTTTTTCTTGAGTTGAAACGACGGTTTTAATGGTTTCTTCGGTGGTCTTTGTTTGAATAGCTAACAAAGCCTTTTGCTTTACTACTTGCTTCTTCTCTTCAACTTGCTTAACCACGATTTTTTCTTTTACCAATTTGTCCGCTGCTTTCAACATCTCATCCGCAGCTTTCTCATCGTTTCCGAGTTGTACTTTGAGATAATTCTTCGCTTGATCATACTTTTCCTTAACTTCAAGCGAACCAGAATTAATTTTCAGATAATTTAAACTTAACGCGGTAGTCCAAGCTGATTCCGAAGCATTCTTGACTTTTTCATTTGTAGTTATGGTACTAACGGTGGTCTTCAAATTTTCCTTGTTGATATTTAGATCCTTACTGACTGTATCGCTTAATTCAATTGATCCATCACTCTTTTGTTTAGAAATGATGGATTGGGCTTTATCGGGCGAACAGCTTTTTTGAATGTCAGAAATTGCTTGACGCTTCTCGGCTTTCTTCTGCTTAGAGATAACTTTCTTTGTAGATTTATCAACGACGAGTTTCGAAGTGACTTTCAAAACTTCTTCCTCAATAGCGCTGTCATTAATTTGTTTCTTGAGATACTCTCTAGCTTTCTTGTATTCTACCGTTGACTCGTCAGTTGAACCGCTAACTTTTAGGTAGGAAATAGTGACCGCGGTTGAAATAACATCATCATTAAGCTTCTTCTCTTTGATGTATTTCTTCAAGGTTTCATTGGTGGTATAAATTATCAAAGAATTATTTAGAGTTTCTTTGGAAGAAATGTCAAGACGTTGAGCGATGGTATCAACAAGTGTGAATGATCCATCACTCTTTTGCGATTCTTTAACAACTTTAATGGACTTGACATCGGTTTTTGATCGAACGATAGACAATGCGGCTTGCTTCTCCTCCTTCTTTTGTTCTTTTGTAACTTTATAGGTGGTCTTTTCCACAACTACCTTCTTGGTCGTTTTCAAGATCTCCTCTTCCAAATCGGCGTCACCAACTTTTTTGCTGAGATACTTTCTGGCATCTTCATATTGCACTTTCCAGGTTGATCCATAGGTTAAAGCGTTGTGTTTTAGATAATTAACTAAAAAAGATTAAACGAGATTGTGAAACACAAAGGATTAGTATCGATTGATCAAATCGAAAAGATGCGCTCATCGAACAAAAAACGAATTGCATGTTTGTATTTTTCCATCCTTACTTGTGACTGCAGTTGTCCAAACTGAATCATCTTTAACTTTATTCTTGACACGCTCGTTCGTTGCAAAAGCGCGACAAGTATTAACTAAAGTGCTCGTTGATGAAACGTCGAGTTGCTTGCTTACTTCATCACTCAATTCAAATGACCCGTCTGATTTTTGAGTTGTAACAACTTTCTTGACAGTTTCTTCTGTAGTCTTCGATTGAGCGATAGTCAAGGCGATTCTCTTTTGTTTTACTTTTTGTTTTTGGACTACAACAGTAGTGCTTTTTTGTACAACAAATTTCTTACAAGCTTTCAAGAGTTCTTCTTCTAATTCTGTGTCCTTGATTTCTTTGCGAAGGTATTTTCTGGCTTTCTCATATTGAACTTTCCAGTGTTGTTCTTGTGAGGAAGCTGTGCTCTGCAAGTAGCTGATGGTGACGGCGGATTCAATCAATTTTTTATTTTGAACTTGAGTAAGTTTCTTTAATTTTTCACTAACTGCAAATGATTTAATGGAAGTAACGAGAGTTTCGGAGGATGAAACTTCAAGATGCTTGCTAAGATCTTTGCTCAATTCAATTGAACCGTCAGATTTTTGGGTTGATACAATGCTAATTACGGTCGCGGCTGAAGTCTTATTATTGAGATAAGTCAAGGCTTCTTGTTTCTTCTTTAATTTATCTTTAATGATTGCTTTGTGCGTTGTTTTATGAACAACTAATTTTTCACACGACTTCAAAATTTCTTCTTCTAATTTAGCATCCTTAACTTTTTCACTTAGATACTTTCTTGCCTTTTCGTACTCAACCTTCCAGTGTTTCTCGTGAGCGGATGCTGTAGTTTTGAGATAACTGATCGCTAATGCTGTTGAAATGATTGTATCATCTTTAACCTTCTTTACTTTTTCGCTAACAGCGTATGAGTGAACGACACTGGTCAACGATTCCTTTGAGACATCGACATTCTTGCTGAGGGTTTCACTGAGTTCAATTGATCCATCTTGTTTTTGGGTGGACACACTTTCTTTGGCCGTACTTACAGTCGTTTTGGATTGAACCTTAGTCAAGGCTAATCTCTTTTCTTTTTTGACTTGCTTGCGAACAACGTTTGTGGTGGTTTTATGAATTACAACTTTCTTTGCAGCTTCTAATAACTCTTCTTCCATCTTCTTATCTTTAATTTGAATGCTCAAGTACTCTCTGGCCTTCTTATATTGAACTTTCCAAGTAGATTCGTGAGCGGTACAATAATTTTCAAGGTAATTTAATGAAATCGCCGTCTTCCAGATATCAACATTCGTCACCTTCTTCAAACTTTCAGTGGTGGAATATGTTTTCACAGAGGTGAGGACGGATTCATTTGAGATGCCACAATTCTTGGTGATTACCTCACTTAATTCAAGGCTACCGGTATCTTTTTGTGTTGAAACGATGGATTGGGCATGTTCCGCTGTTGTCTTTGACTGGACGTGCAACAAGGCGGTTCGCTTTTCCTTCTTCTTTTGTTTGTAAATGACCTTTGAACGGCTTCTATCAATAATGAGTTTCGAGCATGATCTCAGTATTTCTTCTTCAAGCTCAACGTCCTTAATCTGTTCTCTCAAGTACTTCCTCGCACGTTCATATTCAACCTTCCAAGTTTCTTTATGAGCACTGGCGACAGTACTCAAATAGGAACATGTTAGAGCAGTGGAGATAACGGTATCATTGACGACGGACGCGGTTTTGACGCGTTCGCTAACGACATATGATTTAAAGGAAGAAACAATGTTTTGTGTGGAGGTAGAAACAAGATCAAGTTGTTGGCTAATTTCATTAGAGAGGCTAAAGGAACCATCTTGTTTTTGTACTTTGATGATCTTTTTCGTGGTCGTAACATCGGTTTTGGATTGGATATGGGATATTGCGATCCTCTTTTCCTTTTGCTTTTGTTTACGAACAGCGGTTTCAGAAGTCTTTTCCATCACTAATGTACTACAGACCGATAAAACTTCCTTCTCTAGTTCCTCGTCATTACATTGACTGGTAAGCCATTTCTTTGCATTTTCGTATTTTGATTTATAATGAGATTCATGTGTGGAAGCCGTGGTCTTGAGATATGCAAGTACGGTCGCGCATTCAATGATTTTAGCATTGGTTATCTTCTTGACCTTTTCGCTGACGTCATAAGACTTGATGGTGGTCAGTAACGATTCCGATGAAGATACATCGATACGTTTGCTAACTTCTTCACTTAATTCAAAAGCGCCTTCTTGTGTTTGTTTTGAGCAAATGGCCTTTGCTGTGTCAACTGTGGTCTTTGATTGAATGTGTAATAAGGCGGCACGTTTCTTTTTGACGACAACCTTTTGCGTAGCTTTTTCCACGCATAGCTTATAGGAAGCTTCCATTAATTCTTCTTCTAATTTGGCATCTTTGATCTGACTGCTTATCCATTTCCTTGCGGTTTCATATTGAGCCTTCCATTGAATATCATGTTGAGAGGCTGAAAGTTTAAGGTAATGGAGTTGAATTGCGGTTTGCCACACGGAGGTTTTCGTCGTGATCGTATCTTTGAGTTTATTAGACGTGGCATATGATTCACAAGTAGAAACAAAATTGTTATTGGAAACATCAAGTTTCTTTGAAATGGTTTGGTTCCATTCGAAATGATTCGATTTGAATGAGGATAGGATAGATTTTGTCTTTTCGATTGTTGTGGAAGTTTGAATGGAAGCCAAAGTGGAACGTTGTTGTTTTCGGATAACCTTTTGAGTCGCTCTTTCTACTACCAATTTTTTGCTTATGGCCAAGATTTGTTCTTCTTTCTCAACATCTTTGATTTGTTCTTTCAGGTATTTCCTTGCCTTTTCATATTGAACCTTCCAGTGGGTCTCATGTTGATTAGCACACGTCTGCAGATAACTGATCGTCAAAGCGGTCGAAACAATTTCGGCCTTGGTCGTTAACTGTTTGATTGACTCATCGGTGGTATAAGATTGAATCAATTTAATCGAGGACTCCTCGGAGATCTCAAGTTTCTTGGAAACAACCTCACTTAATTTGAAGTATCCTTCTGTATGTTGATAAGAAATGATTGACTTGGTCTTTTCAACTGTAGTAGATGATTGAACGGAAACAAGAGCTACACGTTTTTGCTCAACTGTGTAGGTGCTTTTTTCAACAGCTTCCGTTACGATGGACTTAGGTTGTGTGACTTGTACCGTGACTGGTTTGATCGTTGGTTCTTTTACCTTTGTTGGCACAACTGTACGAGTGATTACGAAAAAGTAAATTTTTAGCTTTCATGTGAACGATAGTAAAGTGTTCGAACGTTTAAAACATGCTTCGCGAACCTGGTTTTGGGTATTCCTTCATGTCCGCTTCGATCGTATCAGGTTTTACTTTGTAAGTACTAATGACGAATTCCTTTGCAATATCAGTTAACTCTCGCTCAACTTCTTCATTATTCACTTGTTGTTTTAACCATGCAGACGACTTCTCATATGATGATTTCCATTCGGTACGATGTTCGTAGGCCACCAAACGAAGGTAATAAAGCGATATGGCAGTTGTGATGATATTTTTGTCAAGTTTCGAAGTACGTTCAGATACGAAGTGACTCTGAATCGAAGTCTCGAAGGACTTGCTATCCGTGAAATTCAAAAGCTCAACGACATCATCATTATAAATAAAACCTCCTTCTTCTTTGCAATGAGAAAGATATCTCTTGACAGAATCAACTGTAACGGTTTGTTTTACTTCTCGATAAGAAACTCTTCTCTTATTTAATCCTAAAATCATTTTTTTTTTTTGACGAAATGAAAATCAAGACGAAGGTTGCAAAGGTTAAAAAAAAAGAAAAAAGACCGCAAAAATCATCCTTAAATTTAGGAAAAATACAAACTAATAAGCTCTTGTCTCTTCTGTTCAACTTCATCTCGCTGAATTGCCTTTTGTTTGTTCTCAACGGCCGAAGCGAAACTATTATCATCTTCAATTGATGTTTTATCAACTTGATGTCGTTTGATAATAAAGTTCCTGGCACTTTCTAAAATTTCTTGTTCCAATTTTGAGTCACCATTACATTGAACTCTTAAATATTCGGATGCTTGATCATAAACCTTGACCCAATTTTGTCGAAAGTCTACGGCTACATAACGTAGGAACCAAATTGTAGAAGCGGTAACCCAAACATCCTGGTGAACTTTTTTGACACTTTCGCTATGGAAATGGGTTTGAAGTTCTTTTGTGAACTCTTCAGTGCTTTCAAATCCAAAGAATTCGGTAGTCTTATTGTTAAGGGGAACAGAACCAGCTTTGGTTTGATAATTGAGAATATAACGAACTTTTCGAGAAGTAATTGATTTACGTGTAATTATTTCTCGTTTATCTTGAAGATAAAAAACCGAAATGAAGCACGTCAATAGAAAATTCCAATGAAAGAAAAAGATGATACGTCAAAACAATTTTTCTATTCTTACCTCTTGTAACTAAACATTTTTGCTGTTGATCCTCATATTCTTTAATTTGGAACCTTTCGGTGATGAATCTTTCACAAGCGCCATATAATTTGTCCTCAAGTTCAATATCATCGATTTCTAAACTCAACCATTCTTCACTATTTGCAATAATCTTTGTCCACTCTTGACGATGTTTCCAACATAATAGTTTCAAATATGTGATCACTAATGCAGTACTAAGGACAGATTGGCTTAACGTTTGCAATCGTTCTTCAGCAATGGTGAATTTCTTGAAGGCGCTCCTTAACTCTTCCTCGGATTTACAATTAAAGAAACGAGACAAGTTGTCAGAAAATTCAAAAGAACCGCTCGTAAGTCTCCAGCTGAAGAGAATGTAAAGGTGTTTAAGATCGATGGTTTCTCGTTTGAAGATAAAGCTCTCTTCCAAGTTAAAAGAGGTGGAAAAGAATTGGACTTCCATGTTCAACTCTCCTTTAAAAATTTTTCCAATTTGAAGCGAGAACCATTGTTCTACAAGATCACCGGCAGTGAAAGAACCATCTTCATTTCTACCAATCAACTTTTCAGTGTCAAGAACATAAGAACCAAGAGTTTTGTCAGAAATGAATAAATTTTCGTCCATAATCTCAAAGGTGATTTTTTCACCAGGGCCATGAATTGATACGTAATGAATTTCCTCCCAAACAGGGGCAAGTGTATCATGATTTGTTCGAGTTCGAATGATTTCTTTTGAAGAAGCATCAAGAATTTTAACATAAGGATCCGGTTTCGTTCCAAACCAACTTTGATTTGGAAGATCCTTGGCGCTTTTGATTCTGATTCTGAGGAGACCAATGACTTGATCTCCTGCGATAAAATCGTCGTCGTTTTCAGCTGCATCGTCGTGTGAAACGGGTTGAGGTTTAAATTTCAAGGAATCCTCGAAGGATTCATCTTCTTCTATTGATTCCGCGTCAACTTCGAACCTCTTCATGACGAAAATCTTTGCAGCCTCAAGAACTTCTTTTTCAACTTGTTCGTCTTTCACTTGTTCACTTACCCACAAAGCTGTCTTCTTATATTTATCAGCCCATTCGCCTCTGAAATCAACCATCACGTATCTCATATGCCAAATCATGACAGCTGAAATATACACGTTGGCATCAAGTTTTGAAGCTTTTGCATAACTAGCGAAATGTGTTTCGAAGATTTTCTTCGCCTCCTCAGCTGAACTGAATCCAAGAGATTCGGACATATGATCGGTAAGTTCGAAACAGCCCGTGTCTTTTTGAAAGCTGATATAACGACGTACTTGACGTACATTAATATTACGACGAGTGTTAATCGTTTTCTTTGGTTGGACTATCGTATAGTGATTAAAAATAAATAAATGAATAAATATAAGATTTTTTATTTAAAATAATAAAATGAATGAACGAATGAACGAATGGGAAGGTTACAAACGTACGACTTAAACCGAGACTCCTTTTTTGCTCTTCACTTTCCCAATCAGAGATTTTAAAGTGTTCAACGACAAATTTATTAGCCAAATTATATAATCGTTCTTCAGTTTCAAGATCGGTGACAGTTTCGCTCAAGTAAGTTTCAGTTTTTTGGTCAACTGTATTCCACTCTCGTCGATGAGCCCAGAATAAAGCTTTAAATAATGCTGTAAAGAGAAAATGAATTTAAAGAGATGAGTAAATTCTCTGATCCGATTAATAAAAACAATAAATTTCATAATATTGAAGTTACCTGTAATTAATGCAGAACTCCAAACATCAACATGAAGACCTTTCACAAGTTCGTCCTTTTGTACGTAAGTGGTAAATGCTTTTATTAACTCATCCTTGGAAGAAAAGTTAAACAAGCTTGCAACATTTTCATTTAATTCGAAACAACCATCTTGACGTTGATATGTCATCAAAAGATATAAGTGACGAATTGTAATGGTAGTTTTCGATATAGTGGTGGTTGTAAATAAATCGGTCTCGTTTTGGGAAAAGGGATTAAAATCGGCGGTAAAATTAAGCTTTCCTTTACTAGATCCTTTTATTGACAAAGTGGATTCAAGTTCTAAATGCTTTCCTTCAATGGTTCCATTACCCAAAAGCTTAATAAAGTCTTTGAGATCGAGAACATAATATCCCAAAAGTACATGCTTGAAGAAAGCATTATAATCGTAAACTTGCAACTTGAATTTATCATTAAGATCATAAATTGGAATGTAAAACACTTGCTGCCACTCTGGATTGATAGTATTGTAAATAACACGAGTTTCGCCGTATTCATAACCAGTAGATACACTTGAGATTTTCATATAAGGATCAGAGGCACCACCACCAAACCAAGAGTCGGCTTGCATGAGATTCTTTGCTTTGATAATGTTAATACGTGCAATACCGTAAAGGGTTTTGGCTAGAGTTTATAATTTAAATGAAATTAAGATTAACCGTTTTAGTTGACGGTGACCCTTAAAGGGATTTAACAAGAATCAAAATAAAAACTTTACCAGGAACGATTCCACCCCCGAATGTAATTTCTCGGGAACCTTTCCTAATGGAATTGATCTCTTCGGAAATAATCGTCATAAATTGAGAATCCAATTCAAAGGCATCTTCTTTAACGCTATATCGCTCTTTCACATATGATCTGACAATGTTAAATGCTTCTTGTTCAATTGATTCTCTGCTTTTGAATTGTCCCCATAACCATCTGTAAGATCTTAAATAAGTATCCTTCCATTCGGCTTGATGTTCCACGCAGACTAGTCGTAAGAAATGCAATACAAGAATATTAACCCAGACTTGAGTTACCAAATGCGTGATTTTTGAGTTTTTAGCATGCTTGTTTATATGTACAGTGAGTGCTGTGCGGAGTTGATCAGCATTATCAAATGAAAGGGACTTCGCAAGTTCATTATTGATTTGGAATGCACCATTAGTTTTAAGTTGAAATTTCATGATTCGATGAATGTGTGTTGACTTGATACTTTCTCGTGTAATAACCGTTTTTTCTTTATATGAGTAAAAAAAGTTAAGGATTTATTTTCACGTGATGCCCAAACAATAATAATAAAAGCAAAGCACGAACTACTTACGTGGATCACTGGTCTTAATGTCAAATCTTTCACGGACGGCTTTTCTTCCAGAGGCAATAACAATCTCTTCGATTTCCAAGTCACCACTAATCTCTTTACTGATATATTGTTCTGCACGTTCATAAACGCCGCTCCATTCATTTCGAAAGTCTTTTAATAAATATCTCAAGAACCATAAAACCTATAAAAAATGACCAAAGGCATTTTTTTGATTTTTAAAAATCAATTGTCAATACGTGTCTTTTTTTTTTTTTGAAATGACAAGTATGCGCAAAAACTCACCATACTAGTGGTCCAGATCGTTTTGTTAATTTCCAAGACTCTCTCTTCATGACAATTGGCTCTATATAAACTAAACATGGCTTCCGAATCGGGATAACCAAATAAATTGGCTAAGGTGTTAGAAGGAGCGAAGCTACCATCTGGTGACTGCAACGTGATAAGTGTGAAAAGTGTTGATCGATCAAAGGGTTTTTCTTTAAGATTTGCAAGAAAATCTGTCGATGGTTCCGGCAAAGGAGTTAACGGGAAGAATTTTGCTTTGTAGTGAATTTGTCCTTTGATTGAAAGTTTAACCCAACTGAATATTTAAAATTAAAAGACAGAGTCACCAATTAATAAATTATTACTAATACACCATAGATCTTATGTATACTTACGTATCAATACCCGCTGCTGTTCCTTCATATAAGTCATCTCCAACTTCTTTAACTACTTCTCTAGTAACTTCGAAAACACATTGACCAAGCGTTTTGTCCTTGGTGAAGGTATTGAAATCCATCACTTCCAAGATGAACTTATCACCAATATTCTTTACTGGTAAATAGTGAACTTCGTTCCATTCAGGATCCAAATTATTATCGATGACTTTGGTTTGAGCGATAACATCTTTACCACCTTGGTGAAAAACTCGAACATAAGGATCGGATTTTCCTAATTCAAGGCAAGAGGGAAATTTTCGTGAATAACTTTATGATTCACGTGATCACGCATTAGAACTTGATTAAAATTCGTTACCTCCTGCGAGGAAAGAGTCAACGCTTTTAAGATCCTTTGCTCCCACTAATTCCAATCTAATGACACCGATAGCACCTCCGCCTAAAGTGGAATTAAAAAAAAGGGGGCAAAATCATGAATACCGATGGTCAATTCATCACGTGCCATGTGAAAATCACATAAGATACATACTACGACTTTTCTTCTTTGATAAAGCGATCACTGTCCACTTAGCATGATTAGACTTGCCAAAAGATTTAGAACCACTGTCGGCGAGCAAGATAGTTGCACCTTCTTTCACGGAACCTTTAACGTCGATAACGTGTTTAGGATGGCTTTGTAAGGCAATATGTCCATCCTTGTTTATGTTCCATCGTTGATTTGCAGCTTGATTAGGACTCTTTCGATGGTGAAGGATGAGACGGTTTCCAACTTTTCCTACGTAACATACAACGAATCGAACGATTAGCATTTATTCAGAAGTCACATGATCAACGATGTCACATGATAAGCAGACTGATTGATTGAGCCGTGTAACATCAGATATAAGAACTGGACGCGAAATGATGAATTAACCTTTTTTTTGGGGGATTTTTTTTTTAATTCGATGATAACTTACCATTCTCAGCTTCTAAACATAGAGAAGTTTGTTTATTAACGAGCCAACCGTCTTCATACTTCCAAAGTTGATATGGGTCGTGGTCAGCGTCACTTTTTTGTAGAGCAACAACAGTTTTTGAACCGTCTTTAATTGCACCCCAAGACACAAAAAAACCGCGTTCAACGTCCACTACCAAATTTTGGGAGGCAGGGGAAGACGTGGAAGCACCCGAAGGTGAGTCAGCAGACTTAATGTAAAAGAAACCTTTAGGGAATTCCATACTAGTCATTAACGTAAGTTATTATTTTACAATATGGGTTTTTCAAACGAGAAATACCCAAGAAAATGAAATTGCTTTTTTTTTTTTGCTTTATTTCTTTTGAAAATGAATAAATGAAATATATAATTAACAATAAATACAAAATAAATACAACAAGCGTCCCCGAAAAATGAATTTTTCGGTGTAAAGGAAAAAAATAAAAACCACCCAAAGCTCTTTTATTATAAAAAAAAAATTTATTTAGATGAAATTTATTTATATTACACGAGATTTTCATCAATTGATAAGAATTACAAATAAAATAAAAAAAAAAAAAAATTACTTTATTTTAAACTAATATTTTTTTTTTTCCCATGCATAAGAAAATATAAAAAAAAATTTCAAAAAGATGTGAAAATCTTTCGGCTGAGATGTTTGGCTAATTTTTTATCGTCACACAGCAACAAATTTGGGGGAAAGGGGTTATAATGAAAGACGCGTATTTCATTTCATTCTTAAAGTCAAGCCTGATTTCGATGATTGATAACATTATATTATTTGCAACGGAAACACTTACACTAACATTTCATATGTGGAAATGAAGGGATGAACTAAAAAAAAGAATAATGATTAATAAAATTTCAAACGCATCGCGGAAGAAACGCGCAACCTATTAAATTTTTTTTTTTTTTGCTTTACCATCAATGGAAATTGTTAATACATATTTTTTGTGTGGTTATTTTTTCTTTGTAAAAAAAAACACACCCCCAAGGTAACACAGCGGAAGAAAACACGAACTGTACATACATGATTTTTATGATTAAAAAAAAAAAAACAGGTAAAATATCAATTATCTCAATCTTATTTTACTAAATGTGGAATGGTGAAAATAAAACAGGTATTATTTGATAAAGTGATGCGGGATCATCCATTCAACACAATCATAAAAAAAAAAAAGAAACTCGCGAATTTGTTGAGAGTTGATAAAAGAAAGCAAAAAGAATATTATTAATTTTTGAAGTCCATCTTTTTTCAATAAGAAAACTTGATAGAAGCTGGTTTGACAGAGATGCAAACGATAAGAGTACCTTAAATTATAATATCACATTGACAGGATAAAATCAAAGAAGGTTGCAGGGAACATCACGATTTTTAAATTAAAATTAAATTTTACATCCCTCGTGCACGCAGATCCATCTTCAGATCTGTTAAAAACGATCAGCCGCAGCAATTCTTGTACGTTACATGATTACAATATACGATTGTACGTTACACGAACCATCATCTTTTTTTTTTTATGGGTTTAATTTAAAACAAAAGTGGACACGTAATTCGTCTCGTTTTAGAATAAAAATCTTTTCGAAGATGTGATGAATGTAATTTTTTTTTTTTTTTTTCTAAAAAAAAAAAAAAGAATAATAATAAAAATGAGAATGTTCATGCATTCATAAGCACCTTCAGGGGTGAAAGATGTTTCATCAATTCCAAAATGCCAATCGGCACAAGCTATTCAGAAGCGATTATTGTGATTATTAAGATTATTAAGATTATTAAGACAACAATGTTCATGTAATTTCCCCTCCATCGAGATGATTTTTTATTTTTATTCGTAGTCGATTCTAAAAAAAGTTATAATTAAAAATAGGCTAAGTATTTCAAACGGTTATCAGTGACAATCTAGGATGGGGGCGTGTAACGTTCAAGGAATGTCGCAAATAAAAATGTTTAATTAATACTTTTATTGACAATTTATTGCTTTGACAAATGTTAAAATTGCTATAAATGTGTTAATTACTTATAACATTATCAAACACAAGTTAAACTGACAAAAAACTTTTTTTCTTTTTTCCCAGGAAATTTGATGGCTTTTTGGTTTTTTGTTTTTTTTTTGTTGAACATATTTTAACCTTTTATCTCTCTTTCCGGTTTAGACTTACTCTTTTCGTACACATTTAAAAAAAAAAATTATGATTAAACAACTGTCCTTTTCTCCAAATTTATTTATTTATTTTTTTTTTGATCATCTTTGTTCTAAAAGTTTCCATCTCAAAAAACTAAAATAAATATTTCATCTTTTTTTTTTCGTTTTTTGTTTTTCCTTTCTTTTTTCTCTTTTTTTTTTTTTTTTTTTTTGACCATTTTAAGTCACGCGTTTCAAAAAACTTTATTTGTAACGTCAGAAAAGTTTGACATAAACATCAACCCTCTTTATCAATCCTATAATTTTTTTATTTTCTAAAATTTGGTTCGTACGATGATGTTCCAAATATTTTTCCCGATTTGTGATTTGATTATGTTGTTGTTTATATTGAGAATATGGTGTTATTACAATGCATGCACACACATAATAATTAAGAAAAATATTTAGCCAATTGTGGTCATAAATAAAGATAAGATTCATGCGTCATATATTTTCTTCACATGATATTGTTTAAAGTTGTAAATAGAAATTTTGAATAGTAGCAAGGATTTCCATATATGGTAATTTTAAATAAGCATGTTCTTTGTCTAAACAGTTGGTTTAACAATAAACTTTATATACAGTATAGATATTTATAGATTTGTTCTTTTTGATTCTTTTTCAATGATCTATTCGATAAACGATAAAGTTTTTTTCTCGTCTTCTTTTTCTATTTTTGCAAACGATCAACTTGCATCATTTTTGACAGGTTTCACGAGGGGGTCTCATCACTTGATACATTTTTGGATAACATTCATTGTATCCCAAGCAAGAATTTGATTCTACCCCAGGTTATGGTGATTGCTAAGCCACGATTTAGGAGATAAAACTTTTATCAAAAAGAGTCACATGAAATTAATCCTTTCTTTTTATATCAATCATTAAAAAAACATTCGTATATTGAAATTTCGATTGATTACCTAGTCATAAATAACTTTGGTTTAAATAAAATACAACTCGTAACAAAATTTTAATAAAATGTGCAAAATTATTACTATCTTTAATCTTTCTCAACGATACGTTGAAGATGAACTTCAATTTCTGCGGTTGACAAGGTTCTAAACTTTGGATCTGCTTCTGTGACGATCGCGACTTCAATTTCAGTTGGTTTAAAATCAGCTGACAATACTGATGAAAGCGTGTTAATGGCTAACTGTTATATTCAAAGGATATAAGTATGTTACGTGATTAATTATGACTATCAGGATATTATGAAACGATTTTTAATTAATCATACCTCTACTGTCTCTTCAAAATCTAAAACAGGATCCTTTTTAAGTTTCTTCTCCAAGTAGTTCAAGGCTTCTTGCTGCTTCGCTCCCGCAGCGGTAGCTTTATATCCAACATAATAACCAGCGGGATCACATTTGAAAAGTTGCGGTCCTCTTTCATCGTCATATCCGATGAGAATCATTGCTGGGAAAAAATTTTTCAATTTATAAATCACAAAGAATTTTTTTTTTATTTGCAATAAAAAAAATAAACCTTAAAACTCACAAACTCCCAACGGTCTCATGGCTGCATGTTGCGTATAAACTTGGTTAATATTTGCAACTCGTTTCGCGAGCATGTCCGTATGAATTTCATATCCAAATTTATAGTTAAATTCGGCAGCTTCTTGTCTTGCACGAGTAACTTGAGCCCTTGCATCAGCTTTTTTTTATAATTAAATAAATTTTATAATTTAACTCTTAATATCCTGGATTAATGATCATGAAGCAAATGAATTAATCAAAAGAATTTCATACCTATTAACCCTGTCATGACACATCCGACGTAAGGTGATAATTTAAACATATGTGAAATGGTGGACGGATCAAGCAATTTGTCCTAATTAATAGTTGATTTCAAATAATAAAAATTTTTTTAAAAAAAAAAAGCAATTTTATTTTTTAAAATCCCATTAACTATTTATCTTTACCGGAATTTTTTTTTGTGTTACGATAACAACACTATCTTTACCACGAATACCAACGGACGTTATTCCAGAATTAGATATTGCCTTGAAAGCATACTCTATTATATTATTTATTTTTATAAAAATGAAGTTCTCGTGTTATCATAAAAAGTATAGTATAAAAGTCTCGAGATCGTATCAAACATACCAACTTGGTAAAGACGTCCTTCTGGTGAAAAGATAGTGATATGACGATCATAACCTGTGCTTGCTCCTACATTAATAAAATCACAAAGTTCAATATTTTAAGTATAATCTTTTTAAAGAAGGTATTTTACAAGAACTTTACCGCGACTACTCATTTGGAAAAATTTTGATGTTCGGGTTGCGAATCTAATTAACTCTAATTACGTATATATATAGATTATCATTAACCACGTGATGATTTGCTGACCCTTGAAACTTTTGATTCGACAGGGTTATAGGTCATTATTATTTAATTAAAGTTTATTACAGTCAGAACTCGAATAAACCAGTTTTTTAAAATTCGGTATACGTATCAAATAATCATGCAGGAGTATTACCTTATTCATTGTAATTTCTTCTTCGCAACTTTTTGTTTAATACTAACAGATTCACGAAATACCAACCGAATTAGCAAACCGTTTGGTATTGGAATTGCAATTCCAAGTCATGTGACACGATCAACTTATGCATAGAAAATAATTGATTGCTAAAAAAAAAGTTTGACTAAAAAATGACCACCATCGAAGAAATAAGGAGTTGGAGAAATTTGAGAGAGAAAAACAGGATATGTTAAACAAGTTGCAATATAAGCTGTATGCTGAGAAATGGAGAAGTGTGGAGACCGGGTGTTGTATTTACAAATAGAATTAGTCGAAGGAAAGGTATTGAACAAATTATGTGAAAATAAAAAGTATACAAAAAATTATTTTCCATTTCATTCTAATATTGACTGACGAACTTGTTTATCACCGCTATCTATTGACTGACTTGAAATTTTTTTTCATAACATTCTGGTGAAAGGTATGTAAACTTTTTTGTAAAGGAGCAGAGTCTTTTATACATCTCTTTGATATCTTAATATTTACCTATTTGTTAATTTCTATTATTTTCATAGACGTCTTTGATGAAATACCTGATAGATAGAATTTCTTAACGAACCACCAAATGTCAAAATACCACTTATTTCTTCCCTCTTTTAATTCAATTTCTACAGTTGATCCCTTCAAAATAACTGAAACTGAACGTGATCAATATTTTTTCCTTGATAATTTCAAAAGTTGCACATCTTTTTTATAAATTTGTTATCTGATATAATTATTATTCACAAAACTGGTGAAACTGAAGACTCATACCACAGCTTCTGGGATGATGTGATTAAAAAAGTCTTTTGAAATATTTGGCATAAACTTGAAGTCAATGGAGTTTGACTGTAATATAAACAATAATACATGTTCAGGTATAATTATTTTTTTAAAAAGGTTCATGGTTGTAGTTTTATTTACAAAATTAGAATTGATAATAATAATAATTTTTTTTTTTTTGGTCTATGTCAACCTGATTTTATTATGTTACTGGAAAATTTTTGCCTTTTCCGTGGTGAAGAAAAGCCATGAGTTGATAGAGGAAAACCAGAAAAGAAAGAAATAGTAAAAGGTACAAAAATAAAATTAAAGAATCAAAATTACAAGTAATCTTATTAACTACACATGTCTCAAGAGGTATCTTGCCAAATTATTTAAAGATATATTAAAGGAAAATTAATTTTACAGTCAGTTAGGAATGTAATATCACTTCCGCTATTATTGGTAAAACTCTCAAGATTAAAGAGAACATCACTCGCATTCAACATTTCACAGCTCAGCATGATGATTCGAAGGACGCTTTTAGAGCCTTGTAATAGTTGTGCTTCGCATAATCAATCCACATTTATTCTATCGAATATGTCAAATAAACACCGTGGAATATTATTAAAATGAATTATAGCGGTAAGTGTAAATCGGAAACCCTCACCTTATTTATTTTTTTTACCCCATTGCTAATCTCAAGAATTCTTCCCATAGATTCGAAATCATTTCATCGAAGTTACATAGTCCGTGTGAGTATGAGTGATATAGATAGACGAAAATTCTGTAAATATAAGTGGTGTAAATTATTTCGGAAATTAATGTAGAAAAAGAGTGTTGTGTGACAATTTCTTAATTAGCAATAATAATTGGGAAAAAACAATTAGAATAGAAATTTATAAATCTAAGAGCAAAGAAATAACTTGATGCTGGGACTCCTCTTTGATAGCAATATATATTTCACTTGCAATCTATATCATTTATATAATATCACTTAACTGTCCTGTTTTTCTTAATAATAATAAAGTTTCGGGCTTTACATTTTAAACCATTTGTGGTGTTCGAAAATATAAATTTTTTTGATAAAAAGTGAGCTTGAGCTGGTAAGAGGCTGACGACCATCAAGAAATGACTTGAATATCTACTGACTCATAACTTCGAAAAGAAGTATGGCATCTCCAAGGTAAATATACCAAGGGAAGACCTCGCCGCCAATTGCCTGGAGCAGACACGAGGAACTTCTCGCCGTCAATTGCCTGGAGCAGACACGAGAAACTTCAGCAAAGTCAGCGGGTCAACTGCTGCCGCCAATTGCCTGGAGCAGACACAGACAGTTGTTAGTCATCAAGCAACTCAATACTTCACCGCCAATTGCCTGGAGCAGACATGAAGCAAGGCATTTCCTTGGTAAATATACCAGGGGAAGTCCTCATCGCCGAGGAACTTCGGCATAGTTGCACCCTCGTTGTCACCAGCTTACTGATCAAGTAGTTATTTTTATCGATTAGGGTGTCCAGGAATATGTATTTTAACCCTATTATCGATCAAAACCGATTAGAAAAGACGCGACGTGTCACAAAAACGTAGCACAATTAAAACAGTATAAAAATGCTATATATCGCATATTTTATATATTTTTTTACACATACATATTTTGAGAATCAGAAAAGACGCGGCATGTCACAAAAACTTAGCACGATCAAAACTAATAAATACGCTATATTTTCCTCGCGAATTTTATAGTTTTATTGTATATAGAAGAGCTGTATATTTTCCTCGCGAAACATGACTGCAGTTCTTAGGAGCAAGACATACTTGGATTTTAAAGTACCTAATAAAAAGTATACCTACGTTTACTTTAAGATGGTAGAAGCGCAATTCTGGCAATTAAAACATTATTTAGGTTTTCGTCTGAAAAATGATGATATAATTTTACCATGGTCCGTTGTCTACGATGATTGGCAAGTTTCTTTGAATCGTATTGCACAAAATACAATTAAGAAAATTCCAGGCTGTATAACCGTATTCTGTAAGGAACTCCTTAATATCTGTAATACCTTTGAAGGATCCGAAATACGGCAAAGATGTGAGGAGTTGTATGATGATTTTTATCAACGGAACCTTGACAAGCAGATTGCAGAGAGAATTCGGCTCCTTGACACAACCGTATTCTCTGAACATAAATTTTCGGAATTTCTACGAGCGTCGAGCAAAAAACGGACAGGAGAGAATAACGAAGCCTCGTCGAGCGGAAAACGAGTTCGTCATGTAGATCACGCGGATAATTTCGTACCTGAATTGGTTTGTACTTAAATTCATATTGTTTTTTATGGTGTAAATATACTATTGACAATTTATTCTAATTTATCTCTTATAAGTTCCAAAATCACGAAGAAAATGAGGAAGTCTTATCTTCTGATGTTGAATGTTCTAATAGAAAACAAGATGATGATGTAAGCTTAATAAATATATTGTTACATGTGATTTTTAATGATACTTATAACGTTATTATTACCTTGCAGGAATCTATTTTGAAAATCTTTGGAAATGAGATTGAATACTCAGAGACAATGAAGGGCATCTATCTTGAACATAAAAAACACTATCCTGGTAATACCATAATTGATTTGCGACCAAGGTCTAAATTTTTCAAACAGCTTTCTAATAAAGTTGTCCAAGATTATAATCAAGAAATTGAGCAAAAATCAGGCAACCTGATTCCAGATAATGTTCATGATTTTCTTGTCGATTTTTTCTCTCAAGAGCTGACAGAAGCTGAATGGCAGGATAAGATTGATGACCTACAATCTCCAAAAAACGATGATAAACCAAATAGTGATGATAAACTTTTAGTGGCGACAATAAGAATAATACGACGTACGTTACCACAATTGTAAGTACAAACAATTTATTGATTTATTAAATAAAGTTTTATACTAATTTTTATATTGCACTTATTTTTGTAGTATAAAGGCATTTTCTCTTGGCGCATTTAATCCTCTGCAAGACATTAAAGCAATAGAAAAACCTCATTTAAATTCATACGTTCATCCATGCTTGGAAGCAGCACTATGGCATGTTGCACGAATTAATTATATATTTGGGGAGATTCCTTCTCAAAACCATGTGAAGCGAGAATGTGCCGATGGTGCCGGGTATATGACGGGCGCTGATAAATTCCAATTAATATATGTGGAGGGGGCAAGGCCTAAGGCGAAGGAAAATAAAGAATTGGCAGATGCAGAAAAAATTGCAAGGAATTTAGAAACGATGTTTGCATCAATTGGTAGAGAAACCATTAACAATAGAAGGCGTATCCCAAACGGAATGGCTGTCTTCGGAGGACAGAGTTTTCGGCTTCGCATTCACCTCTTTTATCTCGATTACTGTGGTATGTTATTCTTTTATTTTTCATTGTCTGTTAATATATTTCTTATACCAATATTGCTATAATTATAGGCGAATTCTGTTTACATGAAATTGAAAATGCAAATCTTCCTCGAGATTTTACTGAGATGGCAGACTTTGTGTGGTATTATGAATGCATTTTAAAATGGGCAGTATGTATTAACAGTTTTTATTTTAATAATTTTAATACATTTTATAATTATGATAAGTAAAATTTAATTCTGTCAATTATAAATTTAGTTGCTTGCTTACGATATGACAGTAAAATTCAAGGAGATAAGAAACCAAAAAAGGCCTTCAAGACAATCATATACAAATAATATCCGTTTGCTTGATGATCACTAACTTGAACAACGGGCTTATTTCTGAGAAGTTATCTGATTCTTTTGTATAAATAACTGTATATGGGACTTTTCTATTTCAATGATTTTTAAAACATCATATTGTATTGAAAGTATAAACCAGACACTGCACCGTTTAAGTATAATTTTATGACTCCGTTCGATTTTATCACTGATGTGACAAATCATGATAGTCTTGTGACAAGCATAACTGACTTATTATTTTATCACATTGTTGATCGT